CAAATTTTGAATCACTTCTAGTCGAACTACTCTTTTGTAATGAGTTTTTACATCATTTTGCATAAAAGCATGCAAAAATGAATAATTCGTGCAAAAGATGTGCAAGTTCACGTGCACATATACACATACGCACGAACGCACGTGAATTTGCCATGACATACACACACATACACACACGTATGCATGTGCGTACGTGTATGTATGTGTGTGCATGTCATGGCAAATTCACGTGCGTTCGTGTGTATGCGTGTACGTGTTTGTTTATGTACGTGTGTGTGTGTGTGTGTGTGTGTGTATTTTGTTGGCACTGAACTTTGTTAGTACCACATTTTCATCATTTTCGGTGATCTCGTTGAAGGGTCATCGAAGCAGATTTTTCCAAGCAGTGGCTGGTTTCTTGATGTACCAGTTGACATCCACGACAAGTACCACATCTTGCGAGGCTCGCGCAAGAATGTGGACGGAACCAAACGAGCGAACTCGGTCGGGATGACATACACATATTGAACAAGCGGTGGATAATAACTGGAGGTTTGCGGTCTACGAACGAAGAACATCGTACATCTCTGTCCAGTGTTTGGGAGCATCACAGTAACACAGCTAATCCGGCCATTTCTGATATTTTTAGCATTGGCTTATCCACCAGCTCGGCACCTTCAAAAGCTTACTGCAAAGAGACAAAACGAAGCTGTCGCGGAAATCCTGCGAAAAACCGGCAAGAACTAGAAAACTTATGCTGCTCGTGGTAGCAAAACTTGATTCTGTATGATGAAGCGAACGGTTACATTGCGTTTTCGGAGTCCAGGGGTGCTTGTACCGCACGTTTGCCCCGCATTCGCTTTGAACCATCTTGCCAAAGTTGTCCAGGCTACATTAGCAAAGTTGCACAAGTGTTTGCAAAGCTGCTGAGCTGGTGAAGTTTCAGCTTCCTATCTTGCCTAGTTCCCGAAATTTTTCCCCGTCAAAAAATTTGCACAGTTTTCTTGAGGAGCTCGTATGTGAGACTCAGGTGCCGGAAAACAATGATTTTAGAGATGAAGCATCGCACATGGAATGGGAACATGCTCCATAAATTTTAGTTTCCTAGCTTCACCGATTGCCGATTTAAAAAGTGAACACACACAAAATATGAACACACACACACACACACACACACATATACATGCAAAAACATACATACACACACATAGCCTTCATCAATATGTGCTTTTGCGATTGCATAAATGTGCGAAAACGAATTTTAAGTCAAATCAAACAAGATACATACAAAACAGATACGCTCATGTACACACAAACACTTAGTCTCATACAAATACACAGATACGTACACATTCGCTAGCACATCTGCCGATTCACACAAAAACATAGGCACATACACAGACGGAAATAGTTAGCTATTATGCATATTTTGCATAGATTATGCGGAAAAAAGGTGTAATTTGGTTAGAATATTTTGAAAGTAACTTAATTGCTTTCCTGCACTGCAGTGGATTAATGAATAATAACTTGATGAGAATCAAAATAAATTTGCATATATGCACCTGTGAAGCATGGATATTGCTGCTGTAAAAACTATAAAAGCAGAATCGAAATGCCCCATCAAGTCATTGTCACTTTTCTGGTTTTCGTTGTCGGCATCGAGTGATACAGTTGGCTTGGAACTGCGAATGCGGGAGGAAAAGATGGGCGAAAACAGATGGCAACGAAGCGCTAAAACCAGGACGACGGCTTGCTCCATGGATTCCTCGCAGACTGTGATGTAGTGGCAGCCAGCAACGGGCGCAGAAGGCTCCGACGCAGCACTGCGCCCTATCATATTCACGTGATTTGTCCGGGGCATGGAGGCGTGCACCCGAAGAAAGCGTGCTTCTGCCGGAAGATTTTGTAGCATACTTCGACAGCGGCATCGACCGTTGTACTTCTACAGGAGGAGGTTTTGTCCCGGAAACATTTTCCGCTATTCGAGCCGAATCCACGCGATTCCCATCTTTCATTGTTTCAATATCCATCAATTCGTTGTTGCTTCAAACTTTGTTTCGGGCGCAGTGTTGCTTCAAACTTTTTGCGAAATTTTTCAGAGTTTTTTCTTTTCCGAAAATCGATTCACGGGGAAAAACTGTTATTGCATACGCAGTTAAAGGAAGTCCGAAACTTTTCTCAGTGTGTTGAACATACAGCTACCGAGAGCTCGGAAGCGAGTCGCGTATCAAAGAAACTGATGGATTCGACTACGTCAAGGTGTTGGTGCTTAGCGAGAACAACAACAACACAAGGCCAGGGACATTCAGATGGGCGCTGCAAAAAGATCCCAGTGGCCAATGCGTTCGAAGTGGGCCAGACACAGAAGCAGTTTCATTGATCTGAGTCAAATCCGCGATTCTTTCACTGTTTCAATATCCGTCAATTCGACCATTGTGTCAGATTCTGTATTGTTGTACCATTTTGATAAAATTTTTCACATTTGATTCTGTATGATGAAATCAACGATTACGCTGCACTTTCGGAGTCACGTTCTGCTTGGTACCACTTGTTTGTCCCATATTCTTTGAATTTTCTCGCAAAAGTTAGACCGTCCCCCCTTTCGTCATTTCCCCGCTTCTCCTGGTAATATCTTCGGTTGTTCGCGCCAAATGCCTCTAAATGTCTCTCATGGTGCCTCTTGCTCCCGGATTTTTCTCCCTACCGCTGTTCCATCTCGTCTTATGCCTCTTCTTGTCAGCTTCTCTTCCCGCCAAATGGCTCTTCGCTCCAAGGGATGCATTGTAAACAATGAAAGATGATGCCAAAAGTAAGGGGCCGTCCAATCGGAGGACAGTCTTTTTTTACGGGTTTTATGTGTTCTGCGCATTTCTGGAAATGCGGGAACATATATATCTGAGGAGTATCGTAGCAAATTTCACAAACATATATATGCGGCTGAAAATATTCAAGGCCTATGCGCCGATTTCTAGTAAAAAATCAACTTTTGCATCTCTCCTACATATTCACACAAAATCCACTGTTATTTAGAAACAATGTCATCTAAAGTTTAAAAAAAAAGTGACTGTGCGCAGCACATCAAGAAACCCTCCATTAACTGTAAGTGTAAAATTCTGTGTATAATTCAATAAAAAAGGCAAAATTCAACTGAAAACTTTGCGTTCACTAATTGAGCTTGTCTCCTTATTGTACACAGGGTTCGAAGATCAGCGTCCTAGAGTCTAGTGGACACCTAGTTTAGTGAGAGAGTACTGTCTGCTTCACTGGCCCCACTGTTAGTCGAGAATCCACTGGGTGTTACGTTCTCGACTAGGTTAAGACTCAGTGAAAGGGCACACCAGCCAAAATCTGGCAATGTG